TAAAACGTCAAGGTGTGAAGGTGAACTTTGACCACAGAAATACAAGCAGCCTCTTATCGATCATGGATACAATTGAAGAACTCACTTCTGAGAACAACAGCTTGGACCAGATATTTTCCAAACAATTTGATTCAGAAATGTTATGACACATCTCTGGGGCAGGTGGGACTTCAGCCTGGGCCTCCTGGCTCAGAGGGAGAGACGCTACCACTGCCCCACAAGGACCTACCAGCTCAGTCTATGTAACTGAACCTGCAGAACTCCCATCACATCCTGTGAGCCTTGTCCTAACACATTTCAAGCCACCACTGCCAATCGGGGCTTTCTAACATTTCAGGGATGGTCCAGAATCTCCACAAACTGAATCTTAATCTCTGGGACGCTGCCAAGAGGAACATTACAGGGCCATTGAGAAACATGGATTCCCTTCATGCTCCTTCAACAGTTCAAAAAGTACCAAGAATTGGGAATATACTTTGTCGTGGCCAAAATCATCCGATCGGATTTCCATCTAGCCATGAGAGGACAGGGCACTGTGGGGGCCAGACTGGGTCAGGTGATCCCCCTCCCCAGTCACCCATCACCCCCCCCGCCAAGTCAAAGAATACTTCCAGCTCAAATTGGTTCTGGTGACCCCTAACCCAAGCCAGCAGACTGGAGTCAATAAATCTGGTAGGTCGGTGAATTTAACAAAATGATAGACATTGGATCTACGCACCTGAACTAATGGATACCTCCTTCCATACCTGAACCTCAGATTTTAAATCAGTAAAATGATGGAAGGTGTCAGTAACAGAGCTATCAAGCAGCACCTGCTCAGCAATAACCTGCTCAGTGATGCCCAGTTTGGGTTCTGCCAGGGCCACTCAGCTCCTGACCTCATTACAGCCTTGGTTCAAACACGGACAAAACAGCTGAATTCCAGAGGGTGAGGTGAGAGTGACAGCCCTTGATATCAAGGTTGCATTCGACCGAGTGAGGCATCAAGGAGCTCTGGCAAAACTGGAATGAATTGCGTATCAGGGGCAAACTTTCCAGTGGTTGGAGTCATACCTGACACATTGGAAGATGGTCGTTGGGCAAGCATAATAGTGAGAGGATGATCTGGTAGAGAGAGAGAAAGAAGCATTTCTGCTGTTCAGTGGAGGCGTAGCGCAGGGCAACCTGGTCTGGGCTGTTTAGATGTGAAAGCCATCACTCAACTGCTCGTGGGAATCTGGAATGCTGTCTGCACCACCAACCCCCAAAAAAAACCTGGGTGAACAGTGAGAGCTTTCAAGCCTGAGATGAAGAGAGTTTTGTTGGCTTAACGTTGCCGAGGGACACACAGCAAAGCAGAGAAATATGACTGACGTGGAGCTCAGCTGGGATAGAAACAAAGGGTGGAGAAGGGTCCAGAGGCCAAATGGCCTCTTCCTGTTCCTACTATTCCTGAACTTCATAATGTAATGATGAAGATTACAAGGAAGAACGTGTCAGCAAGTTTATTTCTGTTTACTTCCTTGAATTTGGAAAATTAAAAGTTTTGCCGGCATCTTTTGTGTAATTCACCTGATCCGTGAGGGATAATTACCAAGGCTGCAACAAATTTGTGATAATTATCAGTTAAAACATTAACAATTTTGTTCCTCTACAAACACAGCTGCTGTAATAGCGTTTTTTTCAATTGCACAATCAATTTATTTTCATCAAACATTCCTTATCATTTACAATTAATTTCATAGAATTAACTTTTGAATCACAATCAAATAAATTTAGTTCCAAATATAGATTGTGAGAAGAGCAGAGACCATTAACTGCATTTTGGTTTGACCTTCACAGTGCCTCTGAAACAGCCCACCCATCTTGTCCAATTCTTTTTTTCAAGATTACTCTGGAATGTACTGAACCAGTGAACATTAACCATCAGACAGTTGCTGGCAGCAACTTCCCACATGCACAAAGATTTAAAAAGAGGCATTCAACAAAACAAGGGCAAGATGGATCTGACAGAGGGTTCCAGAGAAACTGTTTCCTCTGACATGGAGCTCGGTAAGCAGCGGAGGACAAGATTGAAGACACTTGGGAAAAGAACCACCAGTGGAGATAAGGAAAATATCTTTCTCTGCAATGAGTTGCTGTGATCTGAACTTGCGGCCTGAAAGGACAGTGGGAATGCATTCAATATTGTTCCACAGGGATTGGGTCTTAAATGGGAAAACTGGAAAACTAATGGGGAAAAAGTGTGGAAGGGAGGAGGATAAATTGGTTAGCCCTTTCAGACAGGAGGGGCTGGATGAACACCCGTCCTGGACGATCCTTTAAGTGACACATCATCTGTCTCTCCAGTACGGTATCCGGGACCCTAAGGGGGAACCACTTCCAACATTCTGAATGTGTCAACTCAACATCCTGGGCATCGAATCCCAGAGTAGGCCTGGATTCTTCTAGCTTCCTGAATCAGGAGCTGAGAGCCAAGCTGACAACCTGTTCCAAGACGTCCTGGAAAAAGAGCTATGCCCACTGTTAAACAACAATCACCATTCTGCTGGGAGACCTGGTGCTGCCTGAGATTCCTTTGTGCCGGTGATCCCTTGCCATGACACAGAAACAATCAAAAATGCATGTGAAAGGTGGTGTAAGTGGAAACAGGAAACTGATCCACACCATTAAACTCTTACTCCACTACAAAAACAACACAGGTTAGTCAGCTCAACACTGAATGACTTTCTGAAATTAACTCATCAAATCATTGTTACGGAGAGGAATTGGTTAATTCTTTCAGAGATGGAATTCTAACCTCAGTAGCACTCTTGACTTTGTGACAGAGTCTGGCATTGTCAGTCCTGGGGATCTCTCATTGGTTCTGGCTCCCAATATCGATGGCAATTCTGTAATAATAACTGCTCCTTAGGGATTGAGTAATCCAGTGGGTTCATCGCTTTTCTTCATTTCAGAATGTGAGCATCACAGCCAGACCAGCATTTATTGTCCATCCCTCATTGCTCAGAGGGCAGTTAAGAGTCAACCACATTGCTGTGGGTCTGGAGTCATGTGTAGATCAGACCAGATAAGGATGGCAGATTCCTTCCCCCAGTGAACTTGTTGGGTTTTTCTGATGATCAACAACAGGTTCATGGTCATCATTAGACTCCTAATTTCAGGTAGTTATCGAATTCAAATTTCACCATCTGCCGTGGCAGGATTCGAACCTGGATGCCCATAACCTTAGCTCGGAGTTCTGAACATGTGAACAAGGAACAAGAGTAGGCTACTCAGCCCTTTGAGCTTGCGCTGTCATTCAATAAGATCATGGCTGATCTAATTTTAGCATCAACTTTACATTTCTGTGCATCCCTGATAATCTTTCTTAGGAATCTAGGAACAGAAGTAGGCCACTCAGCCTCTTGAGCCTGTTTGTGGAAAAGAATTCCAAACCTCTACCACCCCTTGTGTGTAGAAGTGCCTCCTAACGTCTTTCCTGAATGGTCTGGCCCTGATTCTCAGACTATGCCCCTAGTTCTAGAATCCTCAACCAGTGGAAATCATTTATCTTTATCCATCCTGTCTTTTCCTATTAATATCTTGAAGACTTTGGTCAGATCACACCTTAAACTTCTAAATTCTAGAGAAAACAAGCCTAGTTTGTACAATGTCTCCTCATAATTTAACCCCTGAAATCTAGACGATTTCCTGTAAACCCAAACTATACTCCCTCCTCGGCCAATCTACCCTTCCTAAGGTGTGGTGCCCTGATCTGCTCACAGTGCTCCAAATAGGGTCTAACCAGGGGCTTGTGTAACTGCAGCATAACTTCTTATCCCTTTGGTCATCAGGAATCTATTCCCCTCTGTCTTTAAAATGTCTACAGATTCTGCATCCGCACTCTGGTTCTGGATGCCTCGTCCAGTGACATTACCATGTCACCATGCCACTGTCTCAAACAGGAAAACCATGATACATTAGGTTTGGTGTATGGGTGGTTTGTAACCCTACAGCAGGCTAAATAAGTCAGGCAGAGTCACAGCATTAGAAAATAGGAACAGGAGATGGCCATTCAGCCCATTCAATAAGGGTCTGGTCATCACAGTTGATCATCCAACTCAGTACCCTGTTCCTTTTTTTTTCCCATGTCCTTTGATCCCTTGAAACCTAAGAGCTATATTGAAAGTTCTTCTTGGGGAGCAGTCAATATCATATATATAGCACATGGAATCCTTAAAGGTGAACTCTTGTAAAGGTAAAGTGCACATACAACAGTAACCCTGCCCTTCAGTCCCAGGATTAACTGATTATCCCCTCATCAGTGACACCAGTTGCCAGACTCCTCGTTCATCATATTAAACTCTTCTTAACTTTACAAGCTTCTATCAGCCTCTTCCTTCATTGTTATTCTCCAGCGAGAACCCTCAACAGCCTCCATTGCATCCAGCCTGCCCTTCCCTGAACCTACACAGGGAGGGAACATTCTGGGCAATCATTCAGCAACTCAAGAGTTAAAAACCCAAGAGAAACTCAATTGCTCATCAACAAGACTGCACGAGTTGCATTGAGCACGGGGGTGGTGCAATCTAACAGGGTGAGTGCATTCAAAACTACAGGCAGCACTGATCCCATTTGCAATAGCATTGCCTTCCACTGCCGGATCACAGCGAGTGCATTTGAATTTTGACACTTCATCTTAATCTGCAGCATCTACTCCATCCTTGTTGATGAGGTTCGAGTTGGCATTCGTTGTGAATTAAGTTGATTAGTGGCCTCCTCCTTACAGAAGAGAATATTTCGCGATTGAGACAGTACTGGGTCTCTTGTGAATCACAATTACTTTTACTTACTGACTGGTAGTTTTTCCTAATTCCTCACAGCTCATTGGTTTTAAATGCACACATGCATTTATCATTAGGCAGGTAATAGGTGATTTTCCACCTCAATGATAAGAATATAACCACTATACCACTTTGAGCATTCTGTTTCCCATTGTGTGGAATCTAACAGCCAGGAGCAACAAAGCAGCAACTTACTTGAATGCATTTGCATCTCTGTGTATCTTGTAATTGTCTGCACTGATTCTTGAAATGATCCTGGTCACTGCGATGAGAATGCCAACGTTCACCTAAAACCAACAGAATCAACATGTTAATAGAGTCTGTCCCCTACGCCATTCAAATACCAATGTGATCCAGTGTGAAGCTGGTAAATTGAAGGTAGATTCAGTCAAAGAACTGGAGTACGTAATCCAGACCGACACTCCCAATGGCAGCACCGTGGGGGCACTGCACTGTCAGGGGCCCCTTCCTTCAGATGAGGTTTTAAACCAAGATCCCGTCTCGTGGTCTGCAGGAGCAGGAAGGTGTCCTGGTCAATAGTTACCACTCAAACAACATCACTAAATCCCACAATCTCGTCACTATCACAAAGCAGGAACGTACTGTGTGGAAATTGGCTGCAGCGTTTTCGACAGCATAGCACTGACTGCTGAAGTGTACAATCATCCCGAAAAACTCTTTAGGATGTCCTGAGATCATGCAGGCGCTATGTAAATGTAAATACTTTCTTTATTTATGACTCGGGTGTTTAGAAAAGTGCTTTGCTTTGTAACTCACCATGAATATGGATGTAATAAGATCAAATGATTATTAAAATGTTGTCGTCGTCACTTTGGCAGATCAGACCTATTGGGAATTTAGGTTTGGAGCGTTGATGTTTGCAAACCATTCATACATAAAAGAACTCACATTTATATAGTGCCTGTCACCTCCTCAAAAACTGCTTTGACTAAAGTATGTTATTTTTGTGGTGTCTTCACTGGGGTTTTCTGGGACTGCCCACTTGACTGGCACTACATCCATAAACATCCACTCCCTCCACCACCGACGCTCAGTAACAGCAGTGTGTACTATCTACAAGATGCACTGCAGAAATTCACCAAAGATCCTCAGACAGCATCTTCCAAACCCACGACCACTTCCATCTAGAAGGAGAAGGGCAGCAGATACATGGGAACACCACCCCTTGCAAGCTCCCCCCCAAGCCACTCACCATCCTGACTTGGAAATATATCGCCGTTCCTTCAGTGTCACAGGGTCAGAATCCTGGAATTCTCTCCCTAAGGGACATTGTGGGTCAACCCACAGCACAGGGACTGTAGCGGTTTAAGAAGGCAGCTCACCCCCACCTTCTCAAGGGGCAACTAGGGACGGGCAATAAATGCTGACCCAGTCGGTGATGCCCACATCCCATGAGTGAAGGCGAGAAAAGCAGCAATCAAACCATACACAGCAAGCTCCCGGAAACCTCAATCAGGTTGTTAACCAGTTACTCAGTCTTGATGTTGTTGGGGGATCAGTGTTGGCCAGGACAATGCTCCTCTGCCAATGAGAAAGTTGACAATTATCTGAATAGCCAAGGCCCAGTTTAGTATCTCATCCAGAATGTGGCCTGTCCCTCAGCTTTAGTAAGGGAGCCAAACAAGATGGTGAGGCTCACTGACTTTAAAACCTACATGTCATGGCAGCACTTTGAAAAAGAAACACAGTAATATGAAAGTCCAACCTCAGAGAGGAGGCTTTGGTCATCTCCGCACTACATTTTAAATGTGGCAGAATCACACAATCTTTATACAGCCAGGGTTAACCATTGTTTCCCAGACTACATCACACATTAACGTGGTTTGACAGAGGATCCAGGAGACCAATACAATTCACACTCATGACTGGATCAGCTGACTGGATCTCACCTTCCCACACACCAGACAAGTCATTAAAAAAGTGCAGCCCATGAACCACGTGTGAGGATCCCACTACTGGATAACGCCCTGGTCAAATTCATTCAAGCAAAGAGACCAGAACCCTTATCCTTGCTACTTCACATTGTCATTAAACTAGACCAGTTAGAGTTATAGAGTCATAGAGACATATAGCACAGAAACAGGCCTCTTCGCATGATGTTTTTATTATTCTTTTATGACATGTGGTTGTTGCTAGGACAATTCAGACGGTTGTTGAGAATCAACACCATTGCTCTGGATCTGGAGTCACGTGTAGGTCAGACCAGGTAACGACAGTAGATTTTCTTCCTTTATGAACAAGTGGTGGTAGTTTCATGGAGACTATCATTGTGACTAACTGGGGTAACACAATGGAAATAAAACCCCACTGTTTCTGGAGTCTTTCCAAAATTTAAAAGATTTTTAAAGGTACATAAAAATCTCCACTTTACCCATCTTTTAGACCCAGGCTAAAAGAAGCAGAGAAAGGTTTGTGTACTTAACAAAAATCGTCACTTTGTACGATTAAATAGACTCTCCCCTCGTGTCAGTTACGTGCCATCAGCACGTAACTCCACCAGTTAAAACTGTCACACCACACACACAAAGAGATAGACACAGGCAGGAATAAAAACATGGGTGTTATGGGTGGAGGGAAAGACTGAGAAGGCAGTTCAGTGACCTCTGTCCACAGGGTTTACTGAGATAATCCTTCTGCTGATCAGAACCTATTTCTCCATCTTTGTTTTCCAGCTAATTTCATTTGTATGTAGGAAGCACAGGATGGCTGTTTCACAGATAAAAAGGTGTCTGACTTATCAATTAAAAGTCACAGCTTACAACAACTGATGAGGGAAAAATAATTGGTTTTCTTCAGGCATAAAGTGGGTTTTACTGCAGAGAACAGGGAGAGCTCCTACCTGATGGAAATCTGATAGCTTCTCTCTGTTTTGTTCACAGCCCCAGCTGTTTAGCTACTTGAGAGCCAATCACATAACTGTTGGTAAAAAGAAGGCCTTTCTCATCAATAACTGGTAACTGGTCCATAGACCAACTGCTGCTGGCTGAATCTCCATTTGTACACATCCCTTCAGTGTCAGCTCATCTGCAAACTACATTTCAACTATTGCTGGGACCAGCAGCTGCATAAACAGTGCTTTTAATGAGGGTCAAGTTACTGGCTTTCAAATGTGCAGCAATCCTTGGCTTTATAACACCGTTTTGCCCATTTCAGTCCACAAATGAAAATACAGAAAAATAAAACATTACTGTCTTTACACCATCTCTGAGACCAGCTTTTCAATTCTACATCTCTTCTGTTCAATTTGAATGCTGTGTTGGGATTGAACCCAGACCTCTCGAGCATTCGCTCCTCCCTTTGGATCGCTCACCCATTGATACTACTACAACATTGCCATCTCCTATTGTTATAAGACCAGACAGCCACAAGGCTATTTAATAATCTCAGAGATAGTAGGAGCTGCAGATGCTGGAGAATCTGAGATAACAAGGTGTAGAGCTGGATGAACACAGCAGGCCAAGCAGCATCTCTGATGATAAAAACTAATACACATAAATTAATTGCAAGAACCAGCAAAATATTAGTTGTGATAGTAGGAACTGTCGATGCTGGAGAATCTGAGATAACAAGGTGTAGAGCTGAATGTTTATTAATCCATTGTCGATTATTGGAAAAACCCATCTGGTTCACTAATGTCCTTGTGGGAAGGAAACTGCCATCCTTACCTAGTCTGGCCTATGTGTGACTCCAGACCCACAGCAACGTGGTCGACTCTGAAATGCCCTCTGGGCAATTGGGGATGGGCAATAAATGCTGACAAGCCAGCGATGCCCTCATCCCGTGAATGAATAAAGAATAAAAGGAAAATACAATCCAAAGCAAGAGGTAATGCTGATATGTGATGCCTCCCAGTACAATATCAGGGTAGTGTTGGCTCACTGGTGACCCAATGGAGAGGAATGCCCAATGGTGTATGCTTCCCAGACTTTGACTGATACCAAATGCAAATACGCCCAGATAGAGAAGGAAGGTTTGGAGGCCATCTTTGGTGTGAGGAAGTTCTACCAATACCTTTATGGATGGAAATTTGTCTTGGTAACAGATCACAAACCCCTGCTAGGCCTACTGAAGGAAGTCAAGGTGGTACAGCTCATTGTTTCCTTTAGAATTCAGCATTGGGCCCTTATTCTCAGAGCATAGAAGTCAGAACACCGTCCAGGAAGCCAAGATGCTAATGCGGATGTCTTGAGCTGCCTTCCACTGGTTCTGCCTCCGCAGAAGAGTCTGTTTTGGTTTTAAACTTCCTGGACACCCTTCCAGTCACCATGGACAATATCCAACTGTGGACATATAAAAATCCTGTCCTAGCGAAACTGAAACAGCTGGTGGTAATGGGGGAAACAGAAGGGCCATCGCAACCCGGACTGAAACCTTTCTGGACCTGGCGAGACCAGATCATGGTAGGGGACGGCATATTACTATAGGGAGTCCCGAGTAAAGGTCACTACCAGGTACTGGCCAAACTCCTCCAGGGTCATCCAGGGGTTTCCAAGATGAAGATGTGAGCAAGAAGCTATGTCTGATGGCCAAGGTTGGATGCCGACATAGCTGTGTTGGTGGGGCAGTGCCCAGAGCGCCAACAAGAACAGAAATTGCTGCCAAAGGCAGCTCCACTTTGAAGAGAAGGGCCGGGTAAGCCCTGGACTCAGTTACAAGGGCTCAATGTTCCTGGTCATTGTGGACACTATTTCAAACTGGTTAGATGTGCATAAAGTTTGTTCAGCAAACTCAGGGATAATGATTGAGAAGCTGCGAGCATTGTTTGTGATACACAGACTCCCGAAGTATTGGTCACAGAAAATGGGACGTCATTTACCAGCAGGGAATTCAAATATTTCCTAAAGTCAAATGGCACTCAACACATAAGGACAGCTCTATAACATCCATCATCCAATGGTCTAGCAGAAAGAGCGGCCCAATGTTGAAGGCAGGCTTAAAGAAACTTCACTCGATACCAAACCATCGCGGTTCCTGTTCAATTATAGGACCACCCTTCACGCAACAACAGGGCTAGCTCCAGCAGAGTTGTTGATGGGGAGAACACCAGTTTAAACCTGATATTTCCATACCTGGAGGTGAGGGTGAAATGACAGCAGGAATGTTGGCCACACGTCGCCTCTAAGCGAGGGAGACCATTTAATTTAGGGATGAAGTTTGGTGCTGGAACCATGGGAATGGCCCTGTATGGGTACAAGGTGAGGTTGACGCAAGGTCAGGTCCCATCACTTAGAAACTTCAGGGAGGTGATACAGTCCTGAACAAACAC